ATATAAATCTATACCAGAAGATTTCAAACAGTGAAAAACCGAAGAAAATGTAAGCAAATCAGTCCCAGTAGAGGTAAAAATAAGAAATAGATAAAGAAATCTCAGGGTTAGGATGATTTTTATCTCAAATTGCTCTGCATGCTCAAATGTGGAATGTAACAAGAAATTTGTCTTTGAACCATTAAGGTACCTAACTGGTACCATGTCAGCAGTTCCTTTCCCAGGAGACTGGAACCTGACATCTGCTGTGCTGTACTTGGTGCCTGCATAATGCTGGGATGCTAAACATCTTATCTTCTGCTGAGTAGCAGTTATCATTTAGTAAATGAATATTTATTGAATTCATACTGTGATATTATCTAATTTTCCCGAACCTTGTCTTTGTTTGGGACCCTCTTCTGAATATTTAAAATGGATAAACTAATTTATGACTTATGAAACCTTATGCAAAAAGTATTGATATCCCACAAACATAATCATTATTAGAGGGAATAATTATATTTTTCAAATTGTGAGTGATTTATATGGCTTGCTAAGAAGTTTTGTTATTTTTCACAAAGTATATCTTTTTTTGAACAAAGGCAGAGAAGAACTTTGGAAGACAAGTTTAAGGGATGTCAGGGCAGAGACAATGAGTTAAATTAGGCATCCATTGCTATAGTTCAGGGAAGTAATGATGAGACACTAACAACAGCAGTGAAAATGGACACAGACATGAGTAGAGCTGTTAAGAAGTATTTAAGAGGCAGGATCAATAGCATTTGGTGACCAGTTGTGCGTGAAGGGCAAAGGATAGACAAGAATCTAGACTGATTCTCAGTTCCTCATTTGGGTGTGTAGGAGGGAAATGACTAGTCACTAGAGACTAGGTTTTATTTCTTTTGAGGAAGCCTATGAGTTCAATTTGGGATATAATAAGTTAGAGGTAGTTCTGTTATGTCCAAATTAAACTTTTAGCAGACTTTTTGGACAGAGTCTTCCGGAATGAACGGGGATTAGAATTGGCTCTGTAAATTCTGTGTATTTATGTGGTTCGTGCTGGCTGATGTGGGTGAGATTAAATGAGAAATATATGTTTGTACTGTGAGAAGAGAAAGGGAGCAGGAAATATCAGCAAAAGACATAATGAAGGAGTGCAGCATGAACAAGAATGAGATTAGGAGAGATTGATATCACGGCAGCAAAGAGAAGAGAAAGGGTCCATTATGTTACATGTAGCAAGTGAAATAAAAACAGAAAAGTATCTATTGGTTTTGATCATGAGCGTATTGTTATTGACTTGATGAGAGCTGTTTCACCTATGCCAAGTGACAAAGTAGAAAGTTTTGAATTTAGAGGAGCCTTTTAGGGCCTATTAAGTCACTTGGGAAGGGAGAAGAAAAGATGTAAAGGATAACTCTCTTTTTTGAATGGGAAGAAGCATTTTTGCTAAGAGTAAGTGCAAGGGAGACACTGAAGACAGAGGAAGGGAAAAGAAGATGTAATTGGTGAGCAAGTCCTCTGAGGACTTGGACAGGATATAACACACAGTGCAAGAATGACCTCTTCTTCTGAGGTAGAAGGGAAGAAAGCAACCCCCTAGATATCTTTTTAAGTCAAAGGGTGGGGGGAGGAAATTGGTGTATTTCTTGCCTTATGACTTTTATCTTCTTCATAAAATAGAAGGCACAATTGGCAGAGAGCATGGTAGAATGGGGCTTGATGGACTGGAGAAGATTTAAACAGTCACTGAGATGTTAACATTTTTGAATGGGTTCTTGAGAAAGATGACTGAGCTCCCTGAGAACTCAGTGGGGGTGTCATTAATTAATTATGCCATTCTACACAGTTAGGATATTTTCTCCTGAGGTATGCAACTGCAGACCAGTAATAGGAATGGAAATACAGGGGTTCGAACTGATCCAGGTTGGAGGTTTACCTGGCAGATTCATCAGGGGGACAAAAGTCAGAAAATGAACTTAATTAAGACTCTGTAGTCTTATGGAATCTCAATAAGAATCAAAGATAAGTGAGTACGAAAAGGGAGCAGGAGAGTTTGCCTGGTCAGTTTTCTGTCTTCTCTGTTTCACATTTTCCTGTATCTCCCATTCACAAACCAAGTTTACTTGTGCAAGGACCTTGATTCTACTTCCTTTGGTCCCACTAGTCTGTTTCTTAGCACTGGACCCTGCTTGCATAATTTTTCAGTCTGTGGCTTAGGTACCGTGTGCAGCCGAGAATTTGTGCCACTTGAAAGTCCCCTGTGGTGCTCAGCCAGCACAATGGGACAAGATCCAGGCATAGGACTCCTTTCCAGAGTTGGCAAGCACTCACTCCTCACCCTGTGTCCAGTGTTTGGCCTCTTGACTCCTTCCTGGAGGCAACCATCTCTCCTCGCCAGGCGGGTCAGTTTCCTGCCATCCACGTCCCACATGGGCAGGATGGGATATTTTTGTGCAGCTAGAAAAGAGACAGTCTAACAGTATTACCCTTATTTTTATCTCACTATAAGATATGTCACCTGGAAATGCCACAGAAAAGAAAAAACACTATTGAACCATTTAGTCTCCTGGTCTTTGAGGTTGGAAGGATGATAGCGTATTATCAGATAACACAGAATAGCTGATAAATGGTCTTACATTCAAATATTGGTCATATATTCAAATTGACTGGAATAATTCCAAGAATGCAGTGCAGCACTTCTCTATTCCTTTACCATGTTTTAGGGGATGTGCGAGGGTCAAAGCCAGAGCCAGCCTTGTATTTTACGGACGTCAAGAGGCTGCCAGCTCTCTTTGGAGCACTCTCATGCTCTCTGCTTTGTATGCGGGTCAGATCTGAGAGCCATTTTGTGCAGCTGCTGCAGGGTGTCCATCTGTCTTGAGCTCAGCGGAACTTCAGGGATCACAATAGGAGATTCACATCCACTGACAGGATTTTTATTCCACCTGCTGTTGATGGTTGACAAAGAAGGCATAAATGAAAATTCCATATATTCAGGCTATTTCCTTTCTACCCAGTATTCATTCAGTAAACACTCATTGGTTACCTAATAAGTGCCACGTACTGAGTCACCTAGGGGATAAGGATACTATAGAACCCTTTGGGGGCTAGAAAACAGTAATTAAATACATTTCCAGATAAATGTAGAATTTCAATTTTAACCAATACAATGAAGAAAACATCCAGTGTGTTTGGAGAATATATTAGGTACTTTGCTTTATTATATGGGAAGTAGGGAGGATTTCTTAGAGGAGGTGACATTTGAGTTGAGACATGAATGACTGGTAGGAGTTAACTAGGGGCAGCAGAGAGGGAGGGGTGGGCCAAGCCCCCGAGGAGAAAAAAGTTCCAGAAACTGAAGAATTCCACCTTGAGTTCAGAGAGTGAGTTGACGTGAGGAGCAAGATGGGCTCCCCACGGGGACCAGACCAAGGGTGATCCTTCATCCACAAGGATCTAGGACATCTTTAACATTTTTTAAACAAACAATTCATGTGATCAGATTTATATTTACAAAAAATTACTGACATGGGCAGAGGATAGAGGAGGCATTTAAGGTGGGAAGAGTAGATATTGTGAGAAGTTAGGAATAATCACAGTAGGCTACTAACAGATGATAGTGGCTGGATCAACACCATGGCTGTAGAGACTGAAAGGTACAAATGAATTTATGCTGCATTTTGAAGATACAAATAATAAGACTATTGATGGATTGATTGAAGGTGCCCAGGATAGAGAGAAATAGAAGAATGATGTATAATTTCTAGGCTCTGGCCTGTAGAACTGTGTGGATGCTGGTTACTTTTAGTGTTCAATCAGAAGTCTAGGGTAAAAGCAAGTTTGGTTAATTAGGTGCTAAAATTAACATAGCATAATAACTTGGATTTTTCTCATCCATATAACATTCAGAACTCCTAAATTATTATTATTTTTAAATTTGGAAATAAATTATTCATGAAGAATGTATTGGTGATCAGTTGACCCTATCATTAAAAATATTGGAATCAAAGATAGGACAACCCAATTGCAACAAGAGTCATTGTATTTTTTTTTTTTTTGATACCAGGGATCAAACTCAAGACCTTGTGCTTGTAAGGCAGACGTGGTACCACTGAGCTAAATTCCAGCCCAAGAGTCATACTATTTATATAGAAATTTGTAGAACAAAAAATATCAAGTGGAAGTGGAAATTTAAGGCCCCTGATAATGGAGGTGTGTGTGTTTATGTGTGTGTCTATGTGTGTGTGTGTGTGTGTGTGTGCGTGCATGTTTTACTGTGTAGGGGGGTATGTGGGCAGATTATAGTCAACAGATGAGCTTATTTCCTTAGCTACCACATCCATAAATTTTCTGTCATCTTCCCCCACCTTAGCGTGGTGTTAGTATATTAGACCTTATCCTCCCATGTAATGATGAGTCGAGACAGATTTTTTTCCTTATTGGTCACATGAATATGTCTTTTTCCCTACACTGTGGTATAATGTTTTTTCTTTAAATTACTTTAAGTAAATAACCACTCAAGTTCATTGACTGAATATTTTGACTATTCTTTTCTCCCTGAGTTCATTCCTATTGCTATTTTGTGTTAGATGGGGCATTGGGTCCAATTATAGCTTTGCATTTAATTACAAACTTTGCATATGTGTAGATTAATTGGAAGATTTTATTGCTTTATATTTTATGCCTGGAGGTTGTGAACTATAGCAATCCAATATACCACTTAAGAGGATAATACAAATTTAGAATAATAAAAAGAAATTTATAATAATCATCTCAGGCAACTCAAGTATTGTATAGAAAAACAATAAACTATAAATACAATATACTCAAGAGTCAAGCCCATTCTCATTTAATGAAGATCTTTAATCTTATAAAGAAGACATTTAAAGATTGGCCACAATATATATTTGACACTTAGCCTAAGACTCTGAAAGACTTAAAAGTCGGATCCTAAAAGCGTGTTTACATGCACCCATGTAAGTAACTTGAGTAAACAGTTTTTGACTGAATACTATAAAGATAAAAATAACTCTATATAAATAGTGTAATTTTGTTTGTAAATGTGTTTCTCATGGTGTCATGGGTTAGAAATTCTGGAAGACTTTGTGTGTGTACCAGAGTTAAATAAATAAGTAAATATACAGTATTTACTTACATATACATATAGTAAATAATAAGGTAGGAAATAAGACCAGTTTCTGCCTATTTCAGAAAGACATTACAGATATTGAAAAGGGGAGGAGAGAGGCTAGAATGAAACCTGTGAAGCTGGACTACAAACAGAAGTATCAGCATAAACTCACGAAATTGTTATCTATAACTCAATTAATAGATTCGTGTGTATCTATCTATCTATTTGTATAAATAAAAAAACTTTAGTATGTATGCATGGGTTAGCAAACATACATGTGTTTTCTAGCTGCCTGCTAAAAGGGCCTAAAAGCTGTAACACTACAAAAACAATAAGTATACCTGATGTTTAGATCTTGTTTTCTAAACACTATTCTTCAATAATAAACAAACAAATAAATAAGCAACAACAACAAAAACCCAGGCTTCATAAAGAAGCGACTGATTCCTGGACTGAAGCTGGACAATTATGAGATTAATCTGGATCGTGGTGTATTGCACAGAAGTGTGCCAAAGTGTAGGGAACATGTGATGAAGATCCAGGAGTCAGCCTGAATGTAGTCTTGATGGCCAAGCTGGGACATTTTGAGCAATAAAATAAATAATGAAAATTAGAGATTGTCCAAGGGTTTTCTCAGAGATCCAAAAGGTGGTCAGGCTTTTGTGAGAGGAGTTGGCCCTAGAGATCATAAGGAATTCCAAGAAGGAGCTGGAGGATCCAAGGGAGGAACCTGGGCAGAAGTTATGCAGTCTGTTGTCTTCAGTTCCCTGGATCGAGTAGAGTAGCTCCCTGAAGAGCAAAATCTGTAAAGGTCAGTGATGGCAATGTCTAAAGAGAGAGAGCTTGAGGCAGGACAGGCTGCCATGGGGATAGCACTCTGTAGCTCAGGCTGTGTTGGGTTGTAGTTGTGGTAGCAAGACATCTCACTGTAACTATTTGGGGTGAACAGACCAAATGTTCCCCTTGTTTTTTTCCCAAAGATAAAAACAGGTGTTAGTAAAGAGAATGGCAAAGGATTTCCAGGCCTGACATAAACAAGTTAAATAACACGTAATGAATATTTTGGCTCCTGTCTCAGGGAGAAACTTTTGGAAAGAGGTCTTGAGAGACCTGATGGTCCCTCTCCTTGGATAGCTCAAGAACTCCAAGAGTAGAACATGATGAGGAATGTTACGAATTATGCTGCAGAAGCCTGACACTAATTATACAGGAGGTGGTCACCTGTGGCCTTTCTCCAAATTCTGCTCAGGTTCTTCCAGCTGGGGACATTTGAATAGCCAGACACCAATATAATGGCTTTGCTTACCTCTTTTATTGCATCAATTAATTGCTTTAGGTTATCCTGATTACTTCTAGTATAAACCCACTTCTTATTAATATGTAAATTTTAGGAAAATTGTTTTTTTAGTAATTATAAGGGTAAATTATATATAGTTAGAATTATTAGAATAGAATAGAAATTATTAGACTAGAAAGTATTATGGTTATTACCTAAAATGCTCTCCAAAGGCTTATTGTATTGAAGCATTTGTTGCCAATTGCTGGGCTTTTGAAGTAATTGGTTCATGAGGGTTCTAACTTCATCAGTTGACAAATTTATTGGTTAAATCATAATTGGATGGGCTTATTGGAAGGTAATAGAAATTTAGGAAGTTGGGTGTAGTTGAAGGGATGGACTATGAGGATGTGACCTCAGAAACTGTATTTTGTCCCTGGCGGTTATGGTTTATATCTACATGTCCCCTTAAAGCCTCATGCACTCATAGGTGAGGCTTTTGGAAGTGACTGGATCATGGGTGTGTGATTCTGAATCATGTGTGTGTGATACCAGCACTGATTGGTTTAGTATAGTTCTGGTTGTGGATGATGGACTTACTGAAGAGGGAAGACAAACTCTGGGTGTGGGTGGCACCAAGCAATAGACTTGTAGCCAGGATGGAATAAAAACAGAAAGAATGGCTCACTGCTTCCTGCTTTCTGTGCCATGAATCTTTTCTCCTCTTCCATGCCCCTCTGTAATGCCACAAGTTGAGTAGTTTTCTTTTGCCATGCCTTTCTGCTGTGATGGTCTGCCTTACCACGGGCCCAAAGCAATGGCAAAACCCAACCATGAATTAAAACCTCTAACTGATGAACCAAGACAAATCTTTCTTACTTTGAGTTGTTATTCTTAGATATTTTGTCTCAGAAACAAAAAACTAACACATAAGGTTTACATAATTCTTTTGGATTTGGAAGCAGCAATAATCATTCCTTCTACCCTAAATGAGAATAGGATGAATGGATCTGTGAAGAAAAGTTTCTCCAAGTTTAGCTTAGACCAGGATTCTTTGGTATGAAAGATTACCAGTGAATTGCTTTAAGATTCAACAAAACCAAATGTCTCTCTGAAGTTAAGTCAGGTCAGTATTAGTGATAGTAATGGTGGGCAAATATGTTTACAAGTGAGAATACAGATCATTTACCTGGCATTTACTTCTCTATCTCTTCCTAAACTCAGTATTGCTTACTAAGTCACCTATCACAGCATATGGCTTAGGAAAAGTGGATCATACCTCCAGCTTCAAGGGCCTGATTAGTTCTAGAACTGTGATTTGTTCCTTTATTTAATAAATACTTAAAGAATAGAAGAGCCTCAAATCGCTAGCAGTGGAATTAACATGCTAGTGTACATGTGAGAAGAGGTACAAATAACAAAGCAAACCATATAGTGATAAAAGCTTCAGAGAAAAACACAGGTTTGGTGGGGGTGGAGGAAATGCCAAGAGACAACTCTGGCACATACCTGTTGTTTTAAAAGGTGATCAAGGAAGGCCT